GTAAGACCAAGTGCCACGGACCCTGGGTCTCTGGCGATGGTGAGGGGAAGTTGGGCGACGCGATGTGATGTCGTTAAGTAAACGGGGACGGGCGTATTACCAGCCTGGGCCAAGTACAGGATCCAATTCAAGGCATGAGCTGCAAGGAAAGATAACGATCCGACTGGGAATAAGAGCGGTAGGGAGAGAGAGATGCAGAGGATATCAGATATCGCAAACATGAAACCACCAAAGCGCAGTGTAGTGTAGTGTAGTGCACATAGGCAGGCAATAGAGACATGTACGCTCGGACGAAGCGCATGCAACCCACGATAACTGAGCACACTCAAATCTCAGCACTGAAGAAATAGTCACCCAAATGTTTAGTGATTAGGTGCTGGAGAGTAACAGAGGTACAGCCCGGGGACAAATCACATCATCACCCGAGGGGCAGGGCCCTGTACACATTAAGCTTTGCAGGGGTGCAGGGGGAGGCTTATCCCCAATCGTCAGCAAATTTCACAGGGTCTGTGTCACACATTTCACAGTGCAACACTTTTTTTCAGCTGCTCTTGCTTGGCCGAGGCTGCACTGTGTCCAGATCTATTGTTTAGTGCCTCCAGCTAGTACGCCGTAGCGTGAAGCACAAGGGGGTCATCACGATCACAAGTTCGAGTCGGGATTAAGAAGAAAAAAACCCTGTGAGATCAAAATGAGAACCTGCAGAAAACGGATATTTCTGTTGAGTCATGACTCTTTTGCCTGAAACATTTTTAAACGCAAGGGTTTGCTTTATGGGAAAGATCTGCTCAGCGGGGGAGTTTAGCTTGCGAGCCCACCACTAAACAGAACTGAACTGAACTGAATTCAACCCGCCCGCTGTAAGCCTCCATGGCGACAGACTCTGGCGCTAGAGCACAGCGACGTAAACCACGGGAATACAGAGAGCGTTCCTGACGCCAAACGCGGAAACAGGGACATGGATTTGAGAAATTATTGGACATCGCTTCAAGCGCAAAAGAAAAAGAAAAAAGAAAGGAAAGGAAAGCTCTCGTTTATGTATGCATTTTTTGGCTCTTCCCTTGCATTTGAGTCACGATGCAAAAGAGAGACAAAAGGGCTCCCTACTTCTCAAGGGCGCTGATGTCTCGGACCCCTGGCCTCTTCTCTCCACCAGACGATTAACTACCCACCACTGTAAGATATGGATGGATCGTGAGATAACCGAATAAGAGAATTGACTGGATGATCAATTGAATGCCACCTCCAGCCACGTCAATACCACCTTTCCGACGCATGAATGACAATTTACGTCGTACGGTGAAGAAAAACATGCATGCATGCCAGTAAGCAGCCAGCCAGCCAGCCATCCCTGCTTATTATACGTCTCGCCAATATATACAGGGTCCCCATCACGAGCTCAGCCCAGCTCAAGATACAGGCGATAAACAACTGCAGATACACACTCAGATACTGTATAAACAATCTCAACTGCCACGTGGAGAAGTCAAGTAGGGTGCGTAATGCAAGGGGGGGAAACCTATACCCGAGAGTGTTTGGTAGAAATCTAGACTCGTAACAAGCAAGCCCCGAACTTTGTCTCCCCCCATCATCTCAACTCTGATCCGGATCAAGACAACGCTAAAGGAGTCTAGCTTTCCAGGCTCCCCCTCAAAAAAGAAAAGGGGAACCTTTTGTCATTCATCCCTTGTGATGCAGCTTGCTTTGCTCCTTGAGCTGAAGGAGTCGTGTCGTAAACGAGTTCTTAGCCCTATGATGAGGCCATGCATGGTATAATTGCTTTTTTTCTTGCTTCCCCATAATATGCAAGTCAATTAAATGCGATGAATCAATTTCCACCCCAAGAGTCCCAACGAGCCGGGACGCGTTCCCGTTTGCTGCACCACTTTTTTTTATCTTTGGAGGCGTTGAGGCCAAGCGGGCTTTTGTAACTCTGTTTAAACACTTTTGGTCTCTTTTTTGCAAACGGCACTCGAGAGACGTTAAGCTTTACGCGCGGCTGTGCCGCATTCCAGGTTCCTGGTGCTATTAAGGTTGAGTTAAGTTTAGGGCATCAATGGTTCTTGTTCATCTCTCATTCCAAATCTGATCTGTAGTATTTCCGTGATCTCCCTGCTTAGACCTCCACTGCTGTTGCTGCTTCAACCAACCTCACTGTGGTGCTGTGAAGGATTCAATGTAAGGGAGTTTTCTGAAAGACAGAGTGACGATATATCGTACCATTATGCAACCGTTGCGCATGCGTGAATGAGACTCTTTTGCTTTTTTCTCTTCGTTGAACCGGCCATCACGTTTTTTTCAGCCCGTGACTTGCATGCCCTCGCAGCTGGAATGACGCCAGACTCAATCCCGCCCGTAAGAAGAAGAAAAGAAACCATCCAATCGAACAATACCAAAACCCCCATTACTCCACAAGAAGCAAGGGAAACACAGTTAATTGAACATGTCACATCCCGTATTTCTGCAAATCTGACGTCTCGCACGAGGAGACAAACAAATGCTGATGTAGCATTGGACGTAGGTCCGATGGACGACGGCCCGGGACGGAAAGGCAATCTCACATACACACTGTTACCAACAAGATAAACTGTGTTCTCCTCATTATGCATGCACACCTTATCTGCCTGGCCATTCGCACGAGTATTTCTGTTGGCCACCACCAAATTCTTAGTATCAGTGCGCATCGGCCGCGTAGGGCTTCCCGTATCTGAGCACCATCTCCAGGCGTTTTCGTGGCGTTTCTGTACAGGCGGACTGTTAACCTGGCCGCACTGCAAAGACACGAAGTGGCTTTCCATTCAACAGCTGGGTAATTTACACTTGAAGCGAGAGAAAGGTGGCTTGCGTGGTTATTGAACAGAAGGGAATTGACAATGAAACTCTGTTGTTATTAGCGCTGCAATCATACGTCTTGTTCCTCACCAACACTCTACTTAGAGAGTATTGTAGTTGACACCAACAGTGGAAGTGGCACGGCACACTCGCGGGCAATTCCCTCCCGCACTGGCCAGTGCCAAAAGCAGTGTGTACGTGCAGTGCTCGGACATGACGCCACGATTCTCTTTAGATCTGGCCCTTCCATTCTTTTCCAAGCCGTTGATTTTTATCCCCGCGTGCACTTCACTTCCTCACCCAGTAGCTTAGTCTCTGCACTAAAGATGCCCTAAGCTCAATCCACTGCCACTACCAGCCAGCCACAGACCCCGTCTAGTCCCAACAGACTGGAACACGACGAACTCGGGAAAATGCCAAAATCAGTCCGAGGCAATTAATTGGGGCAGAAAAGAGACGTCGCGTAATTGATCGGACGGAGACACATGCATGCACGCAACGCAATTGGCTTGTGCCATATGGAGACACAAATTACCGCTTCGTTTCGGACGGCGCTATTGTGCTTCGGAGTAATTGCGCTGGCAGTTAGTCACTGTCACTGGGCACCCGAGTGCTTGGGTCACTCATTGTCCTATCCACAATTAGGCGTGAAACGGTCCATCAATTACAATATCATGATGCGACAGCAAAATCTCAACCCAAAACGCCTAATAGAAAATCTCTTCTTTTTTCTCTCATCAGGACCGTTATTGGGAGATCCCGGTTTCACGTATGGATCCTTCAATCCTCCACCCGCCCATTCGTCTAGGGTAAGCCTGCGCCCGGAAGATTAACAACACGAGATCCAAACTGTATGTACGTCAATAGTGTTGGTGGTGTCGGCTAGAACGAAACAGGGGAAAGAAGACGAAGCTAGGCAAAGCGTGTATCGTCGCGTACCTGAAGATCGAGCTACGTTGATTGGGTCTACTCAATCGGAATCTTCCATTGACGCTAGGGTAAGTAAAAGTGAATCTGAGTTCTTGCTCCGAAGCGGAAGTTGGAAATTACGATTACTGTTTGTTTGTTTGTACTTGTCGGAGCGATACAGGTGCCTCATTTACGGGAAAAACTCGCTCATTTGCTCCCAAGGCATCAATAAACACCGACGGGGTAGTTTACACGTGAAGTATTCGGTTGAGTGCATCGCCGCGTAAATGTTGATCTTGTCATTCACGCAGCAAACGCAGCAATTCGTCAACAGCAAGATAGCTTTATACAAGGTACAAACATTAATCAGCCCTATCACTTCTCACATCACCCGATCTCACTACTCCCAAACACAATCTCGTAGAATTACAAGGCATCGCAAATATCATCCCACATCCACTTTCGCAGTCCAGACCCCGGCGTCCTCCGCGCTATTGACTAAATCCGCCACTACCGAAGAATCACGGTAGCTAGCCCACAGTATTCTGTTCAAACGATAGTGACCAAGTTGGCCGATGTCCCGAGGAATGCGGAAAAGCCTTGGCCACCGCGAAATCGCCACCAGATCGCTGTTTGGTCAAAGCATCATCAATCATGTTCGTGATGATCGACAGAGCGTAAGCGAGAGGGTTCACGCACGTCAAAAGATGACAGTCCTGCTAGTCTGCGTGCTAATCGCCCACCGGTTCTACCGTTGACAGCGGATAAACCCCTGAGTGACAGAGCTTTGATGATGGGCTAAAGTGGTGATCTCTAGTTTGACGGTGTGGCTAGACTTGTTCAGTTCATTTAGATAAAAAGTCACCTGTCTCGCCTGTCCGCGGGTGCCTAGGACGACCGATGCTATCTTTCATGGTACGATAAATAACTGGTTATAATTTGTCCAAGTTATACGAAAGACGCTCAAGTTTATCCTAAAGTGGCCTAAACATTTATGTCGCTTGAAATCATAGTCTGGAGTTTCTTGCTCCCAAGGCTTGGTTAATTATTGATTACTGATATGACCATGGTCATGGTGAGCATACTGAGCATCGCATTACCCTACACAAACAGCAATGGATATCGCATTTAGGTCCATATCTCTATTGTTGATTTCTAACCGTGACCATACTTTTCTAACCCTGACTGCACCTAATATACCAATAGCCCCACGATCCTTTGACTCTTGTCTAATTATACTAAAGATACCCAAGTTTATCCTACAGTGGAGGTATAGAGTTGCGGACCTCATCCATCATATCAATCAACTGGTCATCAAGTTGTTGATATAGATGCAAATTGTGGTCTGCTTTCAGGAATGCCTCCACACACTCACCGACATATACGGCTATGCCTGCTCTCTCCTCAGGCTTGGGCGCAGCAAGAGCTTCGTGCGCTGGCAGAATAATATTCCGAATCCACTTCTCGCGACACTTGAGCTGCATGTGGAGAAACGGCTTATACAACCAGTCGAACCTCTCGTCGACGTCGAGCCCGATCAAACGGCACATGGTCCTGATGCACAACGAGTCGCGTCGCTGCGTGATAGTGTGCGGATTGTCGGCAAAATGCTGAAGCTGTGCGAGGTCCCGGGCGTACATCCCTCTTGCCTTTATGATCTGCTCCATCAGATCAAGAGTCTTGATGTCTCTATTCAAGTCCAAGGTGTAAAGCCAGTCAAAGACACGGCTCCAGGCGAAGTGCGTCGTCGCCGGTCTCTCTTGCAGGATATGAGTGACCCTGTCGATGAAGTGCTTCGGGGCGACGTGCTCTCCTGCCCAGGCGCGGTTGGCAGGCTCAAAGAGCAATCTCATCTCGATGGTATTGGAGTCTTTATCGCAGTGCGGAAGCGGCTCGAAGGCGTCCGGCTCGAGGGGGAGGTTTGCGCAAGTAGGCAGCCCGTCGACGTCACTGATCAGTTTATTCGTGTCGACGTCCGGGTTGATATGCGGATTGTCGCGATGGTGGCGGATCCATGCGAGGCGGCGGTTGAGGAGCTGTTTCCAGTAACCCAGCACGCCGGGATGCATGCAGGCTCTGGCGCCGGTGCCTTGGAGCTTGATAAGGCCAAGCTTTTGGGCGCGTTCGTTCATGATCGATGGTGTGGATGTTAGCTGACCTTGACTGTAAGTGATGATTATGAAAATATTTAGGTAAATCTTACCTAAGCTTAGGTTACTCTTTAGCAGTTTATGTTGACACTGTATATTGAGTACCTCCTGATGAGAAAAGATGTTGATGAAAAGAAAGCAAACGTAGGTGTTGAGGCGTCTTCTTATACCACAGGAAGCTGCACACAAGGTTACCTATTAAATTATATCACGAAAGTATATTATTCTCCTTCAAATCAGTAAACTCATTTTTATATACTGCCTTGGAGAAGCTGAAGTCAATTTGCAATATCTGGTGTATTACTTGTTGAGACATGACAAACTTTAACTGTCAATCAATGAGAAGGTTGACACACGTGGAGACTGAATAACGGTGCATCACGAGACGCTTTCTTCTTGATGTTTGTTCCACAACTGAGCGAATCAGCGCCTGCCTCCAAAAGAAAACGACTACCAGTGCACTTACGGAGGGTGACATTTCAAAGGACTGAGTCTGTGACCACGACAGATGATGACAGAGGAGGCGATTGTTGAGGAGCAAGGACGAAAAAAGGGGGGGCGAACAAACCTCGAGACCTGTACTCTAAATAACGATAAGGTTTAGGTAAGTTTATTATACACAATAGAGAGTCTTAGGTGAGCAGTATTACTAATCTAATATTTTTATTCAACGTCGTCAGTTTTTTTACTCCTCGAGACAAAGGAGATCAGCCTCTCCCTCTCCTCATCGGATCCTGCAGCCTCGCAAGCTCCAACAACAGCCTCCAAGTATAAATCGTCATATCAACCTCCCTCACAGCCTTTTCCATCCACTCCCTCCCCTGTCTCGCCACCTTCTCCGCCACCCTCTGTCCCGCCTCATTCAACGTCAAGTAATTCACAAGCTCAGGTAATTCTTCCAAGCTTTGACTGACGGGTATGTAGTGGACCCACGGGACCAACCGCTCATCATGCCATTCTCGGAGAAGAGCTTGTTTTAGGGGGAGTGTGTTTGAGGACAAGAGCTTGTAGTAGCGGCCGCTTATACCGTTGCCGTCGAGGTCGAAGGCGAGCTTTGAGTGGAATGCTGCGTCTTTGTCGGCCCATGGTTTTACGGGGAAGAATGTGTTTTGATCGCGGCAGAATTTGCGGTCGCATTGGAAGATTCTTGTGAAGCCGACGCTGTATAAGCGTCCGTTTAGAAACCATGACTTGACGCTGTTGATCATGCCGTCTTTTTCTCTAAGGTATGTGTGCTCTTGCTTCCCAAGGTTCTGTGCCAAAGTCACGAATCTCTGTCGTTGGTGGTTCCTCCACTGATCATCAAGAGCATATCCTCCGGTAGTCGAACCAGTCCAATAAAGGTTGTCCTTCTTCTCTGACCATGGAATATCATTTGTCTTGTCGTACTGAAACTCTTCTTCGACGTATGCTGGACTTGGAAAGAGGATGTCGCCCATCGTTGAAAATGCACCTGTTGACAAGACTGGTGCTAGACCTTCAATGAGACGAAAGGTCTTTGGGCTGATGAAAGCGCCGTGCATATCTTTGTACTCTGGATGCTTGCACAAATCTGACTCGGAGAGGTGATATTTGACAAAAGGGAGTCCGAATGTCTCGAGGCTAGATTGGTCGTCCCGATGGGTCTTGTGTGACGGGCAAAACCGTGTCAAAGTATCCCAAGTCGGCTTCATCGACACATCATTCAGTCGGATACCTTTGTCGACACTGCCTTCCTGAGGAGGTATGATAACCCTCGGCTCGTCAAAATGATTGACAAGAAACTTGACATCCGGTAGAACTCCTGGAAGATTCCATAACAACTTATCAAAAATATAGCTGTAATGCCGATCATAAGACCGACTCGGATGCCGACACTTTGTCTTAGCAGTCTTTCCCGAAAACTCACAGAGCCAGACCTCACTCTGTGGCGTTTTATACACGTTTCTAATCATCTCCGAGACCTCGTTCCCACTCATTTTCAGAAATGGCGATATGGCGCTGTGAATCGTGTCAAACTCATCGATGATGGGTGAATTTTGCTTCAGGGCGTATTGGAACCATGCTTCGAAACCAGGTGGTGGATCAATACCGTATCGCTGCTTGTACTGCTTCACTGCTTCTGGATATGTTCGAGATTGGTTTAAGAGTTTCCTGTGGAAGAGTGGTGTTGCTTCTTGAGTTAATAATTTGATGGGGTGAGATGGAGAGGTGAATGCTGAGAATGTTGCGTCGTGGATCATGTATTCGTTGTAGAAATAGGGAATGAGAGATGCTAATAAGCAGGACCAAAGGAGAATTTTGCCTTTGGATTGTTTGGGGAGGAGTTGACTTGTTTGATAGAGGGTGAGTGTCGAGACTGCGACGTGAGATAAAGCCTGCAGTTGGGAGTTTTGTGAGAAGGGGTTTCTGGTGCAGGCGACAGCAAATGTTCCTATCATGGTAGCTATGCACCAGGACGTTTGTCGTGCCTGAGTTTATTAGTGTCTGTATACAAAGTGGTTGACAGGTCTACGTACGGTCTGAAAGGTAAAGAACCAAGACAAGGCCTTGACCAACCCCGTAAAGAGTACGAGAGGGATGTTGCTGTTTGGAGGTCCGAGTACCAAAGTCTGGAAAGCTATAGCAGTGAACAGGAGAGTAACGGTTCGCCCTGCAATGGCCTTGCTATTCGTTTCGATGTCAACCGACGAAAGTGATAATATCCTCACTTTGAAGCCGGGACTGAAGATACTGTAGACAACTATGAGAGAAGCCACTAATATTATGGATATCAGGGAGCCGAAGAGATCGCCGTTTGAGAGTGAGAACGCTGAGAGGACAGCGACTAATGTTGTGCCCTTGATGGTGCTGATGAGAGGTGAGGCAGGGACTGGGTCAAACGATATGCTCGGCTGAAAGTACGTCTGTACTGTGAGGAGAAGAGGGGTCAAGAGAGGCTTCCGCTGTCAGTACAATCTCACCGGACCAATATTCTATAATCAACGTACATAGAAGCCAATAGTGTTACTCTCAGCTCTATAAAAGGCTGCAGCCACGATACCAAACGCAACTGTCCATTGCGATAACGATGAATGACGCTGTTCTTGCGGGTCATTCAACAACGGTGAAGTCGCTCGGGTGTTCGGTGAAGCAGTATATCTGAAAAGAAAAGGAAGAACAACCCAGCAGACAATCTCAGAGCACAGCTCCAGCCGTCTCGAGGGAACATACTGCGACACCGTCGTGAACACCACCGCAGCAGTCGCAGAGCCCACTACGAGGTCAACAACGTTAAGGGGCACCATGCCCATTCTGAATAGCGTCGCCTAAAGCATCAGGGGACCCAATTGGCAAGGCAAAGCTGAAGACCAAACAAGCTCAGCTGAGAACAGTAACCAAAATAAGCTTCAAAAGAACGTCTACCAGTAATTCCAAAGGGGAAAAATAACAAAGAATGTTCCAAAAGAACAGCAAAACCCTCCTTAAAGATTCCCCCCGTTCCCCCCAAAAAGCCAAGCGAGCTTGGCATGCTAAAACATCTTGGCAAACCACGGTGTAAATTGCCCGGACGAATTGGACGAGCAGGCCACCTGCATAACCATACTGTTGGTCTCGCAGTGAAATGTGACAGTGACAGGAATCCTTTGGGGCTGTGTCCATTCTACGTCGTCATTTAGTGCAAATGCCGGGGTTTTCATCTCGTATCATGTCGTTCTCCGGCAATTCTATTGGACGGGAGTCTGACTGTGCCGATCATCCGCTGTTAAACTGTTGGTTTGACAATCTTTGAAACAACCAACACGAGGTTCGAAATAGGAAACTGCCGAGGCGCGGAAGAATCTCATGAGAATCTGGGAACCTTTGTTTTTCCCGCGGTATTTTTCCTCTTTATTTTTATGCAAGGGAGGAAACGCGTACTCTAAGCCTCGTGTTTGAAGCCAAGGAATTTGATCAAGAGGCTAATTCAAGCTTAATAAGATGGTCACTGGGATCAGCGCGCTATGAGGCCAGAAGCGGTTAGTATGGGGCAGTTTACGCTGCGCTTCATTTCATTCGTCGTCATGATTTGTTAAGACGGGTCTTGGCCTTGTGAAACGAGAGATTGGGTTGAGAACCTTATTTATTGTTTCTTTGGAGAGGCAATATTCCTATCACTTCATAGCTGTTGTAATCGTATCAGGATTATATGAAATATTTACTTGCAGTGATAGAACTTAGTAGAACCAAGTAGATATCATGGTCACATCGTACAAATCATTATTAATAAGCCGCGCGTCTTAGACAGTTTAGCTGCTTGGCGAGAGTAAGCGGGGGAATAATGTTCCTACACAAAGCATCAAACTTGTTCATTTGAGGTAACACCCTGCGATGGCCGGTGTTCCCAAAGCTCTAGGTTGCGACGCTTGTCGCAAGCAGAAGAAAAAGGTACATCATGACAACATATGCATTTGACCATGCTGATAAAATAAAATCAGTGCGATCAGGCTAAACCAGCTTGTGCTAGATGCACCCGTCTCAAGCTCCAATGCACAGGAATCGGTGTAAAGCGCTTTGTCTTCAAGTCCGAGAACTCCCAAGCCGCTAAAAAGCACGCGAAAAGTGTAGCTGGACCATCCTCGGCGCTGAGTAATGACAAGACCTTGGTAGCGGGTAACTTGGTGCATATTCTTGAGTTCGACAACCCAGCCTATGACATCTCAACGTATGGCTGGTTCGTCAAAGACTTGCCGCGTCATGTTGGGTCGAGTAAGCCCCTCGATGCAGCTATTACTGCCTTTGTAACGGGTTTTGCACCGTTGAAGGATAGGAGTGTCTCAAAGGTCGAGGCATTGGATAAGTATGTTTTTGCGTTGAGGACGTTGAGGGAGGCGATGCAGGATCCGGAGCAGGCGTTTTCGGCGGATAATATGTGCTCGATCTACTTGATATCGATCTGCCAGGTGAGTCATCTACTCTAATGTCGCAGAAAAAGTCTGATTGGGTTGTCTGTAGGAATGGCTTGGTAGTGGTGGTGCTGTTACTGGTGCTGGGAGTGTAAACTCGAAGCACCATGAAGTGCTTGCATACTTGCTTCAGAGCGCGCTATCCTAAAGTACCAATTCAATCCCTCCGACAAACCGTTCATGCAAACAATATTCTCCGTTGTGGTAAGTCCCTTCTCATTGTTTCCTCTTCCGTACTCACACCCGCCAGGTCCTCGAGAGTTTCACCAACCCCAACATCCAACTCGGTCCCTGGTTCTGGAAAGCTCTCTCCGTCCTAGGTGATGCCGCACGTCCTCTCAAATCAGGAGACGGCACCTCTTTCGCAAGTCTCAACATCGGAACAATGGGCGAAATGTCCTGCTTCGTCCGCGATCCCGATCGATACCTTTACCAGATCCAGTGCGCATATGCTCTTGTTCAAACAGAGCACCCTAGAGTCATAAGAGCAGCTGATGAAGCAGTCGCTAAAGCTAAAGCATCTGGCTCAACGTTTCTTCAGAGAAGAATGGGGATGCGTTTCCATACAGCGATCGCGGCAATGTTGTCGATGGCTGCTATTCTGAACCGTATTCTGCGGTCTTATGACGGTGACCCTGTCCTTGTAGCGGATGCTAAGCGCTACGTTGATGAGAGTATCGCGCTGGGCCGAGCTGCTAACTATAATCGACCGATTGCTGCTGCTGCGGTGGCTTCTCCTCTCGCGCTGTCGTTAGCTGTCCTGGATGATTACAAACGCGAAGAAGTTGAGGAGTTGCTCGCGGAGTATCAGGCTGATTTCCCAGGGTTGAATTACTTTTCTGATATTGAAAAGGTCAGGACGGGATTGGATTTGATGGTATCGACAAGAATAATCAGAGGAAAGTGAGGTTGCTGTTATCGAGTGAAGAGGAGTTTGATAGTTGTTCAGGTGACAATGATAGAGATACCGAGACGGGGCCGGGGTGTACAATATTGTAAAGAAAAGCAAAGAATGACAAGACAAAGCAGAATCTTCCAACCTCTCTCCTGCCCACGCTTCCAACCAAAAGCTAGTTCTGAGGTATCATTAAGGGCAAAGGTTATCCCCCCTATGATTCAATCGTCGTGCCGGGTCTGAAGCTTCTTTGACCCATCAACCTCGTATCCTTATCATAGCTCACGCCTCTTGCTCAAGATCCTTCAAAAACGTAACAATAGCCTCAACCATCTGCCCCAGCCCCGGGTCCTCAAGCGGATAATGCCCCGCCCCGTCCAACATAACAGTCTTGAGCTTAACCTTCTCAACATCCCTCAAAAACGCTTCCGAGACCCAAAGCGGCGTCCATCGATCCTCAGCCGGCTGCGTCAACAAAATCGGACACGTATCAAAATCCTTCGGTTCCTTTGCTGGTTTATACGTTGTAAATGAAGATAAGAAGATCATCGATACCCAGGCGTTTGCAGAACTGTTATCGCGCATACAAGCTGCGAGTGCTCGAGGATTGTTGACGAGTGTTGACATTCGGCCGGTGATGTACATTGGCATCGACATCCATCCTAGACCGAGGGCGTGCATCACCCATCCCATCGGTGCACCAATACGGCTCATGAAGAGATTCCGACACGCAGCGTCAGCAACACGCTGAATCCTCATATCCATAAAACACATGCCCACGATGCCCTTAACACGCTCATTCTTCCCCGCAACATGAAACGTCAAACCACCACCCGCACTCAACCCATAAAGCGCAATAGGTCTTTTATCACCCTTATACTCATGGTCAACAAACTCACTCGCAATATTAACCCACTCCTCATAATCCCAAACATGCCCCTTTTTCGGGAGCGTGCAGCCGTAGCCGGGCATGTCGATGGCGACGAGCTCGAAACCTGCTTTGTGGAGGGGCACGCCGAGAAGCATTGACATCATGCGCCCGTTGGTTCCCATGCCGTGATGCATTATGAGTCTGACGCTGGCGGAGGGGTTGCGCCATCTGTCGAGGTGGAGTGCGTGGCCGCGGTGGTGCCATACTTCTTCGGTGGGGGAATGGTCGGGTGTGAAGTGTAGACGGTCGGGGAGGAAAGATTGGATGTTTCTCCATTCCTGTTGTTGGGCGTAAGTTGGAAGGTCAGACATTTTGATGTGAGTGTTGATGGTGATGGTATCTCGTCTGCTTATCAGGTGGAAACTGGCTACTTATACCAAGTGCGGTGCATCTGTGAGCCCAATGAAGTTTCGCCCTCAAAGAGCGAGGGGGCGTCTGACCCTACGCTTAGGTGCAAAAAATAAGGTATTCTAAACCTATCCTAAATTATACGAAACCTACCTAAATCTTTTTGTCATTTGGGGTAGAGCCTCTAAGTTTGCCTCCCATTACTAGGACCATTTCGTAGTGTGCGATTCGCTGACGTGAGAAATCAACAGAGTCGGTAAGATATTCGCACTCGGCTAAGATCGTGTGGCCGCCATCTTCAGGACACCCCATGACAGCTAATAGGAATGTCTAAAGGATTGATGTGTTATAATCTTAGTAGATGCCGACACAAGCTATTCTTCTTGATGTAACCCATTCTTCTATATGCTTGTGCTGACTTCCTATAATCGACTGCGGGGAAATTCTTCTCGTTATAGACTCATCATAGTAAGCACCATATTTGATGCGACACGTCACAACTAGCAACATTGAGCTATAGAGGCTCATTGTCATTGATCATGAAACTTCTGTGTAGTCGCTCTCGGATGAGATGAAAGATGTTTGTCCGGTGGGGTATAGTGTCATTGGCCAATTTCGTTGAAACCTGGATGCTCACGAAGAAGGTCGTTGAGATATGAGCAACAAATCTTCCAGGATCACGGATCTTGACGTTACCTTGGGTCTGAACATGTTGTAGAGAAGACGTGAGATTTACCAACTTAGACAAGGTTCTCCCACTGGCCTCACCATCAATAAAAACACCCCTGAAGATGATGACATTCGCGTATGCAAGAACGTTGCACCGTCAAAAACACTGCAACAGGGTGACATTTCCCTACTACGGTGCATGAAACATCACAAGGATGAGGAATAAGGTTATCAGATCAACAAATTCGATGGCCAGTGTCGCAGACTACCCTGCAGACATCCAATTCCACTCGCACTCCAGTTTTGCCAACGCGCGACCGCCGTCAGTGGGTAAAGACCACGGAGAATTACATGATGATTAGTTACCATTCCATATTGCGCGAAAGAAAGCGTCGTTGAAATCGCCAAGGGAACGTCGGATCACCTCTCGCCTCACAACAACATGACAAGCTTGGCACCAAAAGGGCGCCGACCACGGATCTCGCTCTTTGCGGCTTACCTTCCTCCTCCAGCATAAACTCCAACGGTCTCGGACATTTAAATTACAGGAATAACCATAAACCCGCCTCACCTCAATCCACCAAGTGGCACCAACCACGCGTTACGCAAGGATCTTCACGCGGCCCGTAGGCAAAGAACATTTCCCAGAAGGAATTTTTTTCTTCCATCCTAGTTTTCATCATGTCACCCAACTCCACCATCAACCTCCGATCGGAACATGAATGTGGATTTCGCGTATGTAAATGCCCAGCTTTTTCGGCTCCATTTTCTACGTAAAAGAAATACCAAAAACACGAGTAAGGGGAGGGGTTCCACTGTCAGATGTTGTTTTTGACGTGGGCTCATTTAAGATCAAGGCTGACATAACCTTAAAACTCTATTACAGCGAATTGACTATGCTAATTGAAACGGGAAAAAGGGAATAGTGGCGAGATAATAGGGAATAAGTGCCGCACGGAGTCGAGGCCGGATACTCGGACATACGTAATGCTCCACTGGCTGCAAAAATGAAAAGTTAACGGAGGCAAAGACCCACTGTTCCGGTGCTCCATCCGGCGGATCTGCCGGGGTGGCCGAGGACCAATCGGCAGGGAGGTATCTACAAAGCATCAGCATCTTTGAGATTACCTAGTTACCTTTGCGCTCTCGTCAAGGGACCTTCCTATCCTGTGTTGCAGAAGAGGTTATCACGTAATGAACTGAACAGCTTCACTTCCCCCACGGGGAGCTATCCTCTTGAGCAATTCCAGCTCTTGTAATGCTACAGCTGCAATTGGATCACGGAGCTTGCTCTTCCCCATCGAACCACCAAAAATGTACATCATAGCTCCCGCCACAACCTCCGATCGGAGGGCTTTCGGCCTGGGGTATAACATAAAAGGACGATAATATGGAGAACTACGGGCCGCTAATAACGTCAAGTCTGCCCACGAACCTTCCATTGACTTTTCCTTTCACCTTCTACCTCCTTTCCCAATTCACTCTCCCCATTCAATCTGTTCCGCCTCGTATTGAATCAGTAGCTACGCAGGACCGTGGCACTTCACAATGGGCATCATGAAGTTCTCAAAAAAGCCCGTCGAGCCTTCACCGCTGACATCTCACCCTCCCGAGTCCAGCGCCTCAGACACAGAACCACCAAAAGACGAGGCCGATTTCCAAGCCGTTCCTGCTGGTACTGAGGAAAAGGGCAATATCTTTGATCAAGGCGGGAAGACTTACAGGACCCTTGGACGATGGGATACCGTCCTGATCTTGTTCACAAACCAACTGGGTCTTGGAATCTTATCCCTTCCGTCAACGATAAAAACCCTTGGAATCGTACCCGGCATAATTGCCATTCTCGGCATCGGCACATTATCATGGTACGCCGCGTACGAACTCCTCCAATTCTACCGCAAACACCCAAATGTCGTCAGTATCGTCGAAATGACCCGCATTGTCGGCGGCCCATGGTTCGAGTCCTTCGCCGGCTTCGTCATGATGATCCAAGTTGTCTTCATCGTCGCTTCAGCTACAGTCACGCTATCAGTTGCGCTGAATACGCTTAGTAGCCATGCGACGTGTACTGTCATCTGGATTCTTGTGGCGTGTATCGCGTGTTATCTTCTGTCGATACCAAGAACGATGAAGTTCGTGTCCAAGGCAGGAATTCCCAATGCTGTCAGTGTTGTGGCGGCTTGTTTGATCGTTTTGATCAGCTTGGCGGTCTCGGGACCTGCGACTGCGCCTGAGGGGTGGCGTAAGGAGATCAAGGTTGTTGGAAACCCTACGTTTCGCGATGGTCTCAATGCGTGCTTGAGAGTTGTGTTCTCGTACGCTGGCACATTCACGTTCCCGTAAGTTCTCCCCTTGACAGTGGTTGAACCAAACTGACAGTAGACAGATCATATATGGCCGAAATGCGCGACCCTGCGAAGGACTTCCGTTTCGCCCTCGCTGTCCTCGAGATCGTCAGCACCCTCTTCTACATCGCCATGGCCGTTGCCCTGTACTGTCTTGCCGGCGATCTCACAACATCCCCCGTCCTGTCTGCCGCATCCTCAATCCCCGCTAAAGTCGCATACGGAATCATCCTCCCAGCCGTCGTAGCAACGGCCCTCTCAATCGGCCACACAGGGTGCAAATACGTCTACGTTACCGCGATGCGCCAAATGCGCGCAACCCACCAAGTCACGGATAACAGCGTCAAGTCTTGGGTCACATGGATCTTGTCCGTGACGGGATTTTGGGTTCTGATCTTTGTCATCTCGAACGTCATTCCTATCTTTGATTCGATTCTGTCGATCACGGCTGCGACGACGATTCCGTGGTTCACGTACGGCTTTGCGGCGATTTTCTGGCTGCATCTTAACAAGGGTCTTTATTTCTCAACGTGGCAGAAGGGATTGCTTACTGTTGGAAATGTGGTCATGATTGGACTTACGCTGTTCATGAATGCGGGAGGATTATGGGCAGCTATCACTGAGCTGCTGGATCTCTTTGCCAATAGCAAGGATGGCATTGGGGGAGTTTTCTCATGCGGAGATAACTCTATCTTCTAAGCGAAGTTCTATAAAGTATAGAAATAATATTTATTGTTCATCTGATGTTCAAGATCATCCCTAAAAGCTAGACCGATCAGGGCTACCCTATCTCTTCACAGCTGTGCACGTGATGGAATCATGATGCTATAATGTCCAAGTTGTGAGCTAGATGTGTTATTTGCAGTTGAGACTCGTGCCTGAGAGCTTAAACCAGCAGACAGAACTTAGTAATCATGATGCATTGTATCTCATACATTTCTATAGCTAGATTGTAGTACATATCGATATACCAGATCGCCAGCCTCGATCAACATGACGATATTCATTCCCTGTGGCACCCAATATTTGCTCGCACAACCACGGCTCTCTTCGATCATTTCCTTCCACAATTTTGGACCGTTACATGCCTCGCGATTCACGGTGAGCCCAAAAATGCCCTTCCGTGCAGCCCAAATACAAGCAGCACTGCTGGATAACAATGTCCTGTTCTATTTTACCTTGAGCTCCTCACTGATCGTCTGAAGAACCGCTCGATTCGAGGCACCATCCCTCATATCCTTTGGCTTCATCGATAAGCCTATTCCTCGGATCCTCCAGAGCGCGCTCTGCCATCTTTTCCATAGTTGCATCATCAATGCTGCGGCTTTCGTCCTCCGATGGCATGCCATGATAGCCAGGTAAACCATCTTTACCAACCCGAACTCGAACTTTGCCTAGCACACCAAGCGTCTCAAGCCAAGCCATGCGCCGATTGAGAATTTGAGACCACCTGTCAAACATGTTTACCTTGAAGTATGCTTCGATCGGAAGATCTGATGGTTGTGTATACATCTGGAACTCGTGTGTCCAGATAGTGCCGCACTTCAGGTTACTTCCGAACAGAGATGTCGGACCATCCTTGGTCGTATCGAAGAAGTAGTTTGTGTAGGGGAAGTCGCTCGTGGTTCGTTTGCAAAAGGTGATCTGGGCAATAGCTTCGGGGATGGCGATTTTGATCTCTACGTCGTCCGTGGTCGGTAGTGATGGGTGGCTCAGGATTCGTAGATCGGGCATCCCAAGCAACGCCTGTTCAGTCGGAGATAGACGAAACGTGCCGGAGTAGTCTTGGGGGAGAACCATCTTGGTACCATTGACCATGAATGGGAAAATATCCACGCGTTCGTCCACGATAATGTTGGGATCAATCGACTCAGCCTCGTATATAAGATCGCGCACTCGGTCAGAATCAATAGCGGACTCATCAATGAGAAATGCGCTACCACCCTCTGTCAGGATATCGTTGATATACATGAGCTGTATGATGCGAAAAGGGTGAGCAAACGCAATACACTGAAGGTGCTCATGAATCTTCAACCAGTGCTCAAAGTAAACCAGGAAGACGGGCAGAGAAACTTCAGGAACTGGCTCTTTAGCATGTGGTTCTCTACGCTTGGTGGGGCACTCAGAGATAGTAACCCAGAGCTCAATAGCGAAGAGCATGGCTGTAGCGTTGAACTTGTCTTTAGGATGAGCTTTGGCGAAAGCAGCCAGATCCGAGTAAAGTCTGGCTGGGTATCTCATATTGGAAACGTAAGGAGCGCGGTAAAGAAATGTCGCAGGCTTACAGTCGATGTAGTGATGCTGCGCAATGGAAGGAAGGATTTCTCGATAGCGGCGATTTTTGGGCCCATGGAGCCGACCAGAGTCGACGCATTGTTCAAGAGAGGGCGAAATCTGGTGAGGGACTTGCATAGTTGTTGGTGGCTGAATAGAAGCAACGACGATCGGCGTTTGTCCAGTGTGAAGGGATTGAGCGGACTGAAAGGCCAGACACTTCGCTTGCTCGGCAGTGAGGTCTCCATCAGCAAATGCCTTCCTCCAGTCCTCCCCAATCAAAAGGTGCTTCACTGCGCGAAGATTTCCAGGTACGGTGAGAGCATGATGGAAAATGACCTCGGATTGGGAGAGAGTCCCTTCAGAAGGAACTTCGAGTTCCAAACCAGCGAGATCGTCGGCATTCGAGTATATGTGATGCTTAATAGCCGCCCTTGCAAGAACTGGCTCCAGCGTGTACGCAGAGTAACCGACCAGTAGCCGTGCTGGAATCGAAGCATCGTAGGACTCTGTACCCTGGTACGCATGCATCGATCGAGATAGGGGATCGAGATGATGAAAACGGTCTCCATCCCAAATGAGAGTTCCGCGGTTCAGGACGCTGGTTGTGATCCATTCGCCTTTTAATTGCCGGTTGTCATCAAAGTAACCTCCACCATAACGATTTCCGACAGTCTTTGCGATGAAAATGCCCTCTTCACTCATGAGAGCGGCCTTCTTCCCTTTAATAATGGTGCGCGCACCTCTCCATGGAGGCGGCTCTCGAGGCATGATAGCGATGCTAGTGATGAGCAACGTTGGTTAGCGCGAAGATTTGAGGGGAGTGAGCACACTCACCACTGAGTAGGCGTTTGGTGGAACAGAAAGGGAGAAGAAGCTGTAGGAATAAATGTCCTTGAGTTTCGGGCTATTGCGCTATCAGTATCGGCGATGGTTCTGAGTGACCGTAAGGTAAGCGCTGAGGGGGATGTCGTACTTGGTGCCGCGGAGGAGTGAGGGCAGAGATGCTGAGAAGCAAGGAAGGAAGTCTGTTAGAGAGAGGACTCACGTGATCCTAAGACTTAGGATGAGACGACATCAGGCTGAGATTGGAGTTGACAGTGCCAGGCAGATGGAAGTAGTGCCACAGCTTGACAGCGTCGTGAGACCAGGACGTTATTTCTGAGCCTGGCGATAGAGGTAGTGAGAGGATATAGAATTAGACTTATCTAGCAAGGAAGAGTAGATTACATTTAGGCCCGAAGCAAGTCCTGAGATTCTCACAGCCTCGAACGTAAGCAAGGATTTTCACCCTAAAGTAAAGGTATTTAGATAAGCTTAGGATACTCTGGGATAAATTTAAAACAGTCTTTAGCTAATTTATCTAAGTTTATTCCCTATTAGTGATCCAGAGCCCTATAGCTTTTACTATTTTATATCCTGCTTATTTTAAGCACTTTGTCCTTTACTTATTTATAAAGTTAAAGTAAGTAATTATATATAACCCAGAAAGTATAAGGATAGTAATTAATCTAGGTATTAATAAGATAGATAAATAAGATAGGAGATAATAACTTATATAAGATAAAGATTAGTAGTACTGATAATTTATTATTTATTATTAGATGCAGTGCTCCTTATTCTTAACACTATTGCGGGTCACAGTCGCAGAGTTTGACATGGGGGAGATGCTCAGCACACCATTATCGAGGATAGCGACTTTGGTCCGTTTCAACCTTGGGTGGTTTTCACATTTTAAAGTATAATAGAAGGATCGCCTAAACAAGGTTGATCTCGAGAGTCTCAAGTTGTAAGAGCAAATTAGTGTTGGAAGTTGTAAGGAAGAACTGAGGCCTGGCTTGCATTCTTCATCGACTTGAACCCCTCACGACTGAACCAATGGCTTATTGCAGCGCGGTTACCGCTCGAGTATAGACACAATGTCTCTATCCTCTCCCGTGAAGTCTCATTAAGATCACTTATAAACAAGTCAAGGACTTGACAATCGAGGTCCTGAACCCTAAAGCGCTCTACAGCTTCAGCCATCAATGTTTCGTCATGTGGGTTCACGAGCTTATCAGGTACCTTAAGCCTGATAATAGTCTGAACTTTCATCTTAATTTCTCAGCCTCTTGAAAGTCCTGAATACCTCGGTGTGCTGAGGCTGGAGCAAGCAATTGTCTTTGTAGACTTCTCTCTCTTCCAGCGGCGGGAACTCAACGGATCGTAGAGTCTTTTCATAACGAGGCAGTTTGTCTTTCTACGCTTGTAAAATCATAGAATCTATAAACTCTGAGACCCGGGATCCCTCGGAGTCAAATCGCGACAGGTCAAAGCAGAGTAGACCAACTGTTGAAAGAGTCAGTACTTGGCCATTTCTACTACAATGAATCACCTTCAAAGGCCCAAAGGCAATAAAAAGGGATTCCGCCGTTCTAACAGCTTTATGCGGGGGAAAGTACCTGATTCTACAGCTTTTGAAGATTAGAACACGTAAGTTATTGGGTGGCCGGCTATCGGATCCCCGCGGTAGCTTGCTCATTCGGATTCCACATTGAGCAGATGAGGATGCCGCAAACCCCGCAGACAGTAGATCAGAAAGGCAAGTGGATGAGTTGGCGAATGCTAAGAAACTGGAGAATTGACACGTGCGGGGAGCGGAGAAAGGGTTTGACGAACACCCCCAGGATCTATCACTTGGCACTTTCATGGATAGCGATTCCAGCACTGGCATGATTCCTCAGCTGGCTTGGCAGATGCATATTACTTGCCTCTTTCGATCTAGACCTCTAGGGTAACGCTTAGGATACATGGGAATGCCTTGAGCCTCTTTAAGTTAGGAATAGAGTATTACGTGGTTTCAATGTCTAGATTTCGATAATGAGCCGAAACAAACCGTATGAGAGGAACAGAAAGATGATAAATAGTCAGTAAAGTCTCTTTATTCCGAGAGAATTTGTATTCCTTCCAAGAAACCATGATGATTATCGCGACTTTGGTGCAATCGGAACCAGAATTCAACCATCACTACATCAAACCCCAGACTTCCCACTAGCTATCTGCACATACCATCACAAACCTACTCTCCCAAAGGCAGCTCGGACTCAACGGACAAGGTCAACGTTATCGAAATCTGTCATCACGCAAATACCTCAGCTCATGCTCAGCTCCACCAGCTTCGCCCCCTTCCGAACAGCACAGATCATGCATGAGCATGATATCCATTACGTGAGCCATTCCTCCAAGCTATGACCATATCAGCCCCAGCACAATACATTAAATTACAAAGTGCTGTTGATAACAACGTGGGATATCGCCAAGAAAGCTTTCTGTGTGCCAAGTAGTATCAACCGTGATCTCGGGACCGTTGCCGTGAACGGACCAACCTTGTGATAATCACCAGTTTAGCAGTTGAACTGATAATCACCAGTTCTTTCTTGAGCTTCTAAAAACAGAAAACATTCCGCTGGGATCTGTTGGTGAGACCATATTTACATAAAGAATTGCTCAGAGGGGATATAGACATCACGCAACCTTGACATCGGGAGCTGGGCCGGACCCTGCAGTCATCTTCCGAGATTACGATACAGAGCACGGTGATGTTGATTGATACAGCCCAAGATATGCGAGATGCTGCGGCAGGTCATCCGTTGGTTACGGAGTTGCCGTGGCCGTTTATCGGAAACGGTTCCGCTCTTCAAAAGGATCACTGACTACTTGAGCATCTGTGCAACCAGCAAAATTGGAGATTCCACAGAGTACGCACGCTGACTGCTACATAACGCACCGATGATTACCGCGTCTCCAACGTTTCATACCAAATGCACTGACCAGACACGACTTATCAGTAAAGAAAATGCCTCGCTGTTCATCAACACAGCGCGGAGGCTTTCCCGATGGGATAGCATCGGTTCAAGTTCAAAGACCCCTGACTTGTACTGTGCTGTAAACTTTACAGGGTGATCCCCGGAATGGTCGGTGATCTGCGACCCCGTTCGCAGCCAACCATCGCGCATCCCTGATGCATGCGCGAATTGTTCCAGAAGATTACTGCATAGAGGTAAAGTTTGGTGACGCGCCTCTTTTTTTTTTTACCACTGTGTTTTTATTTCCGGGTGCCGAGGAGTAATGCCGTGCGTGGAAAAGTTGCCTGTCTCGGCTGCACCGACGTCAGCCTTGTTTTTATTTTTTTTCCTTTGCAATATTTTCCTACGCAAGTCAGCTGTAATTGTAGAGAGAGTGATGAGACCACCTGGGAAAGCAGACCATTTTATGATAAACGCACTGGTATTAAATCAAGGGATCTCGGAGTGGACTCGGTCGTTTCCCGTACTCCGCTGCGAATGTGATATTGGTAACAAATTCCACAATTCATACTTGAAGCTCTCGTGTTGTGGATGCAAAGTCGGACTGACCCTCCGGCGCCCAATAAGCACGTCGAGTCTGATGCGCCGGGGGGGGGGTTGTGGATATTTTGGAGACCGGACCAGGCTCCCGACTGCGGAGCAATGGGGTAATAAGAACTGACACCTCAGCCAATGAGGCCCCGTCGCTTCAGATTATGGGGAGCAAGGCACCGCGGAGCAATACCTGACTCGCTATTCCCAGTGGAACTTCCAACGTCATAGCTTCATCTTTGGGCGAAAGTGCCTTTTTCTTTTACGTGATGGTAATTCTCAACCAAGAGCCTAGACAATGTCACTTTCTGCTCTGGCTCGTCAATCGTACTGCGACCCTCTTTCTCCGCGAATTCTGTGCTTGTTACGGGGGGAAACCCCATGGGGACATGGAGTAGCCAAAGAGACACAGAGTAGAGTGTCTGAGGGGACTTGGACTACCTACTCCACACACCCAGATAAGCCTCGCCAACACCGAGTTGCCTGCCAGGTTTTCCCCCCAGCGTATCACCGACTAACCTCTCTTGGGTAAATCACCACGGGGATCGACTAGGGGGCAAAGACCAACTTTATCAGCTAGACTCGTGTGCTGTATACAAAGTAGGATCGACTTCAACTTGTCTGAGCTTGGGGGAGAGCTTGTATAAGTTGTGTCCACAATCCCCAGACTTTGGTGCTTCATCTCCTCCACATTCCACTCACTCTCTCTTCCTTCTTCAGCCCTCTCCTCTTCTCTCTCTATCACTTTGTTTTGTTCGTTGGTCAATTCATTTTGCTCTTCAACAACAACAATCGACATCATGTCGCATTACTCTACCGGTCCTGCTGAGAAGGACCCCAAGCATGATTACGAGAATGATCAGCCAGCTTTGAACAACAACCCTTCCATCGCTGGCGAAGCCCAAGTTCACGATGATGTCTTTGGCGAAATCACCGACGAAGGCCCCAACTACCGCGCTGTACGTCGGTTACAACACCATCTCCATCTTCAGCTTAACTAATATCAATAGGTCGGCTGGATCGGCACCGTTGCTCTCATGATGAAGACCCAGATAGGTCTCGGTGTTCTGTCTATCCCTGCTGTCTTCGACGTCCTCGGTATCGCCCCCGGCATCATCTGCCTCATCGTTATCGCCGCCATTACAACCTGGTCTGATTACATGGTCGGTGTTTTCAAGCGCAACCATCCTCAAGTCTACGGTATCGATGATGCGGGTTTTTTGATCTTTGGCCGAGTTGGGCGCGAGATCTTCGGTATCGCTTTCTGCCTCTGTATGTACTCCTATCTTTCACCATAACGACATCAGCTAACAAACTCAGACTGGATCTTCGTTGCAGGATCTGGCATGCTCGGTCTCTCAATTGGTCTCAACGCTGTCTCTCTTCACGGTACTT